TTTGAGATAGATTGGAGTTATATTAACCCCTTCTTTACTCTTACGGGATCATACTCAAACTAGTGAGTTAGTATATACTAATACTCACCACTCTCTTTTAATTCGAACAAAAATTACAAATTTACAACTTTTTACAGATAAGAGTGAATTAGGTGCTCATCAAATTAATGTCGTATTTAGTACGAGTTCCTGGAGATAGTCCTGGAGTCATATTAAACAGTGTAAAAGGCGAGTAATAAAATTAAGAGAGTATACCAAAAAACAAAAGGGGATGGGCGGAAATTGTGAGCAGTATGAATAAGAAGAGCGATGTGAAGAAGAGTTTATTGGTAAAAGGAGCCTTTGATGTAGATAAAATAAAATTATTGAAAATAGAGTACATGAAATCTAAAAATGAGTGCATTGTTTTGTCACTCAGTAGGTACTATTCTACAATGAAACTTAATGCGAATTATACACGTAGTTTTGCTAATAATACCTTATATATTTTATTTGATTAAAATAATCTATATAGATATAGGTGTGTACATACATGTACGTATGTGTATATAAACAAAAAAAAACATTCGTATGGCACTATCATCAAACATGATGCATCAGAGTGACATGTTATTATAGAAAACTTAATTGATCAACTCCTCTGCCTCTCTATAAGTATATAAAAAAAGACCGATCAAGTTTTGTTTTTTATACATACTGTTTCATTTATGACAGTGTATGAAAAGATAGCAATTGAAGAGAGGACAAAATTAAGTGATAATAAGGGAACTTTCAATGAAGTATTAGGAAGCAATTACGTAACGAAACCTTAAATGAAGTATTAGGTTAGAAGAAGAGTAGCCTGATAGTATGAATAAAAATGTTAATATTAACCAGAGTTACAATCTAAGAAGCGTACGAAAGTTATAAAAGTTAAAAAATATACACTGTAAGGAACAGTTGACCTATTTTCACTCAATTTCACTCAATAATGTATCAATTTCTGTCCACTCGATTGAGTGAAATTTTCCTCTATTAGTATGAGTAAATAAAACTAAAATTTTATGAGTAAAACTATCGGTTCAAATATTATCAAAAATGTGTAGAGTTGTCAAGGTGCCCAGTATTGACTAAAATGTGCTCAATAATGTCACTCAATGGATTTCACTCAGATCGATTTATTTACAGTGTATATCTAGGTACTTATATGCCTGTACATATAAATATATAATTTACGAAGTATGGAATTTTGTTGATTGTGGCCAAACAAATCAAAAAGTTTGCATCTGTTAAGATGAACTACATGCCATTTGAAGGTATAGTATAATACACAAATTATATTAGTACAAGCAATTGCAATATCGAAATAATCCTATCTAAAAACTACATCAACGACAGACAAAATCAAAAGGATGTTTAGGAATATAAGTTCGGACATTTAGTTGCTTCCTTTGGCTGAAAATTAATGTCTTAATCTAATTTGTTATGGACATATTAAACCAATTAATATAGCAAAAACTGGCAACTGCATCTTACTTGGAGAGGTATTCAACTAGTGGCCATATACCAATGCCATTCAGAGACAAAGTTGTAAAAAACGGCTTCCTTTAAGAATGTTTATTCAACATACTGTAAATTTATAGTTATGTTCTTTGGGCTATGAATCAAAGAAAAATTTGGCCTTCACATATCAAAGCAACAATTAATATCACACTTATATAATAAGTATATTGTGCAAAACCGTACTTATCTTATCAACTTCGACGTCACCTGTTACATGAGTGTTGTATAATAAATCTCTGTGCAAAACCGTACTTATCTTATCAACTTCGACGTCACCTGTTGCATGGGTGTTGTATAATAATGGAAAAGTAATATTAACGGTTGGTAGAAGGAAGCACAAAAAACAAACGCCTAGGTAGAGAATTTTGCAAGGAAGCGTAGATGGTCGAAGATAGGCAGTTGAAGTGAGGACAGCGCGGAGTGAAAAGTAAGACGATCAGTGTAGTGTGAAAAATATAGAAGTAGTGGAAAATTATGTGTTTAACCGGTATTAATTAGCAGGTAATATTCTTTAAGTACTTTGTTGTTAATTTGTTCTATGTAATCTTATGATTGTGATGATTATAGACGTTTCATGATAATAATTCTTTGTGTATGTTTAGCCTTCATTGTTTTATGCTCAGGGGCGTATATTTTCCTAACGTAAGATTGTTACAATTGTTATTAACGATCGCCCATTATTTATTACATGTTAAAATATATATGTGCTTATATATATTGTCGTATATATATAACGACTTCTTTGTTTCACATCTAACTTGTTTTTGTCATGATTACGTTATACGAAAAACATAGATGTTTCATAATAATAATTCTTTGTGTATGTTTAGCCTTCATTGTTTTATGCTCTTAGGCGTATATTTTTCTAACGTAAAATTGTTACAATTATTATTAACTATTGTTCATTATTTATTACATGTTAAAATATGTATATTGTCGTGACTGCCCAGATATTGCAATAACGACTTCTCTGTTTCACATTTAACTTGTTTTGTCATGATTACGTTGTCCTTCGATTTCTTGAGCTCACTTTATGTCAAGCCGCATATAAGGGCCTTGTTGAATTCACTAACATTTTCGCCCGTGAGGAACGAATCTGAAAAAAAAAAGAATAATTAAATATAAAAAAAAAAAGAATTGCTAACAGATTTTCCGAATCTCAACTATAGCTGGATTGCCTCCCATATGGGACTCCAGTACCTTCCGGCTCTGCCGGCTAACTAACACCAAACCTCTTCAGTTTTACTTGAAAGTGTGTATGTCAGACTTGAGTGAGATGACATTTAATGAGACAGTAAATAAGTTGTGTTTTAATTACCATTAGCAAAGGTTCTTAATTTATACCTTTGGTTAGTGGTTGTTTTGTATTCATATTTGGGTGGTGAGAGCAACGATCGTGGGTTTCTCTGCCATGCTCTTTCCCCACAGGAGCTCTAGGTGAGCCTGGCACTCTC